CAGTAGCAGCAGCAGCAGCAGCAGCAGCAGCAGCAGCAGGAGTAGCAGTAGCAGTAGCAGCAGTACTAGCAATAGTACTAGTAACAGTACAAATAGCAGCCTTTCTCCTGAGGCTCCCTCCTCTCCTGACAATGCTCATATGGGGTCAGGAATGAGTGTAGTGCTCCAAGCACCTTCAGGCTTGGCTGCTCTCCCAGCTGCCCCTATCACAGTGGCTCCCCCTGCCCTCTCTCCACAAGACTATTCTGGTGATGGTTACTCTTCCTCATCAGAATCTCCTGACCCCCACTCTCCTTCCCTTCAGGTCCATGAATCAGGTAAATACAATATTCTGCCCAGCTACTTCTTATCTTTTACTAATTATCTTTCATATTCAGTAATGTTAATCCTACAATACATTTTTGCCTTTTATTGCTTTACAGAATAATACATATTTGCAAGAAATTAAATGTAAATGTGTTTAAGCTAAAAACCATTTAATTCTCATTATTATTTTATATATATATATATATATATATATATATATATATATATATATATATATATATATATATATATATATATATATATATATATATATATATATACATATATATATATATATATATATATATATATATATATATATATATATATATATATATATAAAATATATATATTTATTTATATTTAATTACACTGCCTTGTTACTGAATAAAGAGGACCATGGTGTATATTTCCACGAGTCACTAAAAGTAACAAGTGGGAGCAGCCAAGAAAAGAAATTCTTAAGTGCAGGAATAATTAAGTGTAAATTTTAATATGAAGAAAATAATCTTCCAGCTTTATAAATCCCCAGCAGCCTTGACTGCTGTATTCAAGCATAGAGGTCACACCAGCAGAGGCCATTGAAAAATTGTTCTAGAAATGAGTCAGGCACTCAACAGAATAACTTGGAAAACTCACATTGTAGAAGTAGACAAGTAACAAAGCTGAATATTTACACATTCAGATACTTTATTTCTCTTCTGCATTATACAAATAATGTAGTTTACATGTAATAAAATATTGTTAGGTACAAAAGAAAAGCCACTAGCATGCAGCACATTTCAGGCAATACACTGTGATCCTCATCAGCACAGAATAAGTGTTCAGGAAGATCCCAGGGTACAGATAAAAATATTCAATTTTATTTCTTGTTTATTTTTAAAATGTGGCTTTTCTGAGATTTATGGTTCTAGTATTATATTTTTTTTTATTTTTTAGTAGAATAAGTTGAGGGCTACATGGCTGACAACTCTTTAAATAAGGCATAACAGGGCTTATATGTACAAATGTAGGATATTGAGGAAGATAGATAACATAAAATCTGACTACTACTGCCAGAGATTCAATGTAGCACATACAAGAAGAAAAAACTTGAATCTTGTCAAATTGCAGGGCTCACGAAAATGTTTTTTATCAAAGAATAATTAACATATTAAACAGTGTACCTACCATAGTTGTCAAATTCACTCTAAAAACTCACCAGGCAAAATGGGTAACCCACACAAGCCATAGGATTCTTATCCACTTTAAGGTCATGAAATGATGGCTGATATTTAAATAATCCCACTGCCTCCATTGTCATTTGTATAATCAGATTTCCGTCTCATTCACCTGTTTCTCTCCTTCATCTACCCTGCTTCCTCAGCTCTTTCAACCTTCAGCCAGCCTGACCCTCAGTATGTGCTCCAGTAGTTCACCTCTACCACCCCACCAATTTTTTCCCTAACCATCACTTTTTTTTTTTACTTCCCTAACTATCACCCCTGCCCCCCCACCATCTTTTCCCTAAGTATCACCCCTGCCACCTATTATCTTTTTCTCTAACTATCACCCCTGCCACCCCCCATTTTTCCCTAAGTATCACCCTGCCACCTATTATCTTTTTCTCTAACTATCACCCCTGCCACCCCACCATCTTTTTGTAATCATCACCCCTGCCACTGCTCCATCTTTTCCCTAACCATCACCCCTGCCACCCCACCATTTTTTTCCCTAATCATCCCCCCCTGCTACTTTTCCACCCCTCCATTAACCCTCACCCCTGCTGCCTTTCTTTTTCCTCCCGCTGACACTGCTACTCTACATCTCTTGCCTCTCACCACTGCATTTTAACATACCCAAATACTAAGTTGAGGCAGTGAGGGTGCACATAACTTGAAGATGCAATGGATGACTGAGTGACTAAGGCATTTGTACTTGCTTAGACTGGTATTATTTGTCATTCTATAAAGTAAGCAGAATGAGTGTGTGTGTGCGAGAGAGAGAGTGTGTGTGTAAGAGAGAGAGAGTGTGTGGAAAGGAGAGTGAGTACTCACCTATTTGTGGTTGCAGGGGTGCATGTGTGTGTGTGCATGTGTGTGTATCCATGTGAGTGTGTGTATGTGCATAAGTGTTGAAGAGGTAACAATGAGAATGTCTTCCCTTGACTTGCTCATCAGCTCCTGGCTCCCACTACAGATGGTGCCAAGTGCAGATCACAACCTCCCATCCAAAACAAAGTTCTGATATTAACTTTTGAGGGAAATAAATACATAAACATTTATAGTGAAATACTGTACTCTGCAATACATCCATTTTCTCTTTACCAAATATAACTTCATTTGGCAAATATCCAGAAACTCAAAATACATGAAACTGAAGTGTGAACTGAGTCATTCAACTCTGAAGTTTCATTCATCCCCTTTTATGCCTAGTCTTTTGTTCTCCTTAAAAGTTTTGCTCATTTGTAAGTTTTAAATATAATTTCAGTTGTTCAAGTGAGTTTCATACCTATGATGAACAAGGATTGTATTTTTTGTTAAGAGACAGTGGATGTACTTGGTGTTTTACAAGCTGAAATGAGAGGCTATGTAGCTTTCTGAGAGGAGGGAGCTCAGAGCTGAATATCGCCATTTTCTGTGGTTACAGATCAGGCTCGAGCAAGTCAGGGGAGAGAGATAGAGTCTGTAAAACTGAATACTAAGGACGATGCCCTTGCCCTCAACATTATTACTGGAGCCACGGCCCAGCCACCGCCTGGTAGCGATAAATTCGTGCCCTGCATTGACTTCCACATATCTCCTAATGATTTAGCCCTTGCTACAGTACCTGGGCAGGACTTTGACCCGCGAACTCGATGCTTCTCCGAGGAAGAGCTCAAACCTCAGCCCATGATCAAGAAAAGTCGGAAGCAGGTACGTATTGTATGGGAATTGATATGTTTGGTGAAGTTGCCTTGTACTGGGTGGAGTGTTTAATTAAATGAAAAACACAAAGTACGCAAACAACGCAATACATTAGAAAGTCTTTCACAGAGTAGTGTACACTGGAGTGCGATACAAGAGGAAGTAGTAAGGGCTACAACCATTGGTTTATGCTGGATTAAATACAATACTGAACACGAGACACCGTAAACAAAACCCCCAAATTGAAAACTACTCATGAGATTGGTTTAATATGTGCTCTATGGCTTACCCAAACCCAAATCTCTTTTCTCTGGCAATTATTTCCTATGTTCATAATATCAGTGTTTATCAGATAAGATAGATACCTAAATATTTAGTGTCTTGCAGCACAGAATGAGCCCAGATCTGTGCAAAATTAATTACGTACAATGGAACCTTGGCACTCGAACTTAATTGGTTCCAGAAAGCTGTTCTAGTGCTGATCTGTTTGAGTACAGAACGAATTTTTTCTAATCAATTTTCTTTTTGGTTGGCTGTTATCACTAACCCTCTTAGGCCCCATGGTGACTTATTTATACAAATAATATAAAAAAAACACCCAAAAATGCAAGGAAACACGAAATAGTTTACAGTGAAGTTCTAGCATATCATGTTTGTTTGGCCAAGTGCCGAGCAAACGGTCAACTACCGAGTGATTTGTTTACCGAACAAAGCATTCAAATACTGAATTGTTTGAGCATGGAGCTGTTTGAGTGCTGAGGTTCCACTGTATATAGACAAAATTTTTTATCAAGTTGCAGTATTCTTAAATTCTAAACTCATAAGACTTCTTGGAGATAAGCCATAGAAAATTTAATGGTTCAACTGTGCATGCATGTACACACAGCACAAGCATGCACACACGCAAGCTAGATAATGTAATGTATAACACAATATTTTCTTTAATTTATCTTGAGTAAATAGTTTTCACACATGTTAAACTAAACTCTGAGCCAAAAATTTGGTTGCTTTTCAAAGGAATTGACAAGGACAGAGACAGGATGTTCCAGAGATGGGACACAGAAACACGGCATCACAATTGGAAATTGAAGACTTGGATGAGTCAAAGGGATGTTAGGAAATATTTCTTTAGTCACAGAGTTTTCAGGAAGTGGAATAGTCTGGCCAGTGACATATTGCAAGAAGAAACCATACATAATTTTAAGACGAGGTTTGATAAAGCTCATGGAACAGGGAGAGGGATGACCTAGTAGCGATCAGTGAAGAGGTGGGGTCAGGAGCTATGAATCAACCCCTGCAACCACAAATGGGTGAGTACATGCACGTGCGTACACATGCACACAAATGCGCACACACACACAAATGCATGCACACACACAAATGTGTGCACACACACACACACACACACACACACACACACACACACACAGACACTCAGGCATCCCAATTAGACAAAGCCTGTCAAAGGAGGAGTGAACATCTATAAAAGTTTATATAAAAGCTGCCAAGACGCTCAGTACAATAATGCAAGAAGCCAGGAAGAAAAGCATACATGTTTCTTCAAAATAACAGGTTCTAAAGAACAGAAATGCACAGTATCATGACTGGAATAATACAAAAATAACCAGCACTTAGGAGAGAGTAGCTTAATGGCATTTCAGTCCAACTTGGATCATTCACTGTGTGACTTGTGAATGGTCCATGTTGGACCGAAATGTCATCATAAGCTTTTCTCTCTCCTGTGTGCAGGTTATTTGTGCAACAGGTTCTAACGAACTCATTACATGCTTTATCAAGGCAGTGAACAGTGGATAGATGGAAACAGTCAAACTGATTGAAGAAAAAAACTTATGTTGCAGCATGTGAAATTTCTTACAAAATGAGAAACACTTTCTCAGCATTTTTCACACTATTGGCTGAGGCAAATTAAGTTCGTATTGGGCACAGAATGTTGACTGTCTCAGACTGTGAACGAGTGCTTCACAAACTGTCAGTAAAACTTTTTTAATTCTTCTTTTTCTGTTTATCTTTATTTTTGCCCCTACATTATTAGATTTTTATATCAAATGTTTAAGTTTAGGGAGTTAGGTTGTAAACATCCTGTACTCCCAGTTTCTTTAGGAATATAGGTCACCAAGTACAGAATGGTGAAGTAAAATTAATATTGTGTGATCTTTGAAAAGATCAGTTTCTTGAGAATTTCACTTTTTTGATGCCATCTCTTAAAGAATTTTATAATGTCAGATCAAAATTTTAATGTACTGTATAGCTATAGTATGGAGTCAACATCTTAAAAGAGAGAGTGAGTGTATACAGCCTCTCCTCACTTAATGACGGAATTCCGTTTCTAACACCACATCAGTAAACAAATTCATCGCTAAGTGAGGAGCATACTATAATGGTAATGGGTTTGTGTCAACCATCTTTGATATTGTTTAATGTCACCTTTGCACCATTTATAACATTTCTGGTATGATTTTAAATGTTTATACAGTAGTGTACTGTATATTATGAGGAATGGTTTTGAAAACCGACAAGTTGAAGATTGAGACACTTATGCAACATATGGGAATCTTTATTGACTACAGTATATAAGCCAAGTCTACGGCCCTATGCTGTACATTCTACAAGATTGGTGGACTGAGCACATAGACTCCAGGCTGAGGGACTGATTACCTCAACCCTTCCTCTCCTTACACCTTTCTGCTTTGTATTGGACTGATGAAGCCACTGTGTGTCGAAACATTTCCTCAATAAAGATTCCCATATGTTGCAAAAGTGTCTCAGTCTTCAACTGTATATTGTAATAAATAGAATAAAGGAAATCAGCTTTAATATACATTATTCAGGTATGCATATTGGTCAGAAAACCCATTGTATGTCCGAGTTGTCGGTAAACGAGTTAATGCATTGGAAAGCCCCTCATTAGAAGACAGGAGGAAAATAGATGATACTCTGTGATTTATAGTACATAGTTACTATATATCTCTTTCCATACAAATTTCAAAAATTGTATGAGGAAATTAAGGAAGATTTCTTGATACAGCCTCTCCTCACTTAACGATGGAGTTCCGTTCCTAAGACCATGTTGGTAAACAAATTTGTCATTAAATGAGGAGCATACTGTAATGATAGTGGGTTTGTGTCAACCATCTTTGCACCATTTATAACATTTCTGGTATATTTTTAAATGTTTATACAGTAATGTAGTGTATATTGTAATAAACAGAATAGAGGAAATCAGCTCTAATATGCATTACTTAGGTATGCATACTGGTTAAAGAGCCAATCACAAGTCCAAGTCGTCGGTAAATGAGTACGTCGGTAAGTGAGGAGAAGCTGTATTCCACCACTCTGAAAAGAAAAACTCTTTAGTGTTCAAGCGTTTGTAAAACTAGCTACTGTATGTACCAAGCTAGTGGTAAATAAAGTATTACTGATCTTGTGCTGATGAATGTAAATACAGTAGGGCCTCACTTTATGGCATTCCACTAATACAGACATCAAATTATGACCAAAACTCACTATTCAGCTACCCCCACCTGACTTTCTAATACGGCACCGTGCCCCACCCAGTTTGTTTACATTCTCTGTGAACTCCATAAGCACCGCATCTCTCCATTATGTCAGGAAACTTTCCAAAATTTGAAGTGTTTTAAAGTTATTTCATGTTTTATATTTAGTACTATGATAATTATGCTCATGTGTACCTGTACCTAAATAAACTTACACCCTGTGCTGGCATGCAGGTCTGCATTAAAATCACTAAGAGTGTCTTATTAGTCTTGAGGACACCATATTAATAATAATAATAATAATAATAATAATAATGCACAATAATAATCACTGAGGTGCATTAAATGTCGTACATTACGTTTCTATAAACATTTTCATTAATCCATCTGTGATATTTTTTTCAAAATTATATAATCACGCTACGTAACTTATAAACATGATAAATACACCCCACAGTAGAATAAGTTAACATTAATATGAGATATTACATGTATGAACCAAAACCATTTTTCATTTACTCATTCTCTCTTTCTTGTTTATTCATTTTAGCTCGTTTACTCACCTTTCACCCTACATTAAGACTTCAAAAATTTTAAGGTAAGTAATGAGTGTAATGCATTTTATCGCTTTAGGTAGGTGGGGTGGCCTGGCCTGGCTGGCTACTATACTTACCACACCTGACCTCTTACAGTAAATACTACTCACCTCATCCTACATTAAGACTACAAATATTTTAAGGTAAGTAATGAGTGTACTGTGTGTGTGTATTTTGCATGACTCACGAAATCGTAATGACATGATTGCAAACAATTCATACCACAGGTGGGGTTAGAACCCGCGAGCAGAGAGTCTGGAGTTTTGAGACTCTGATCGCGAGTTCTAATCCCACCCATGGTATGGTTTGTGTATTTTACTTTTTATTGCTTTTAACCCTTAAAGTGTCCAAACGTAGATCTACGTTCACATGCGTATTGCTCCGACCTTGATTTTCTCCATTTGAAAGCATGTAAAAAAAAGTAGATCTACGTTCGGAGCCTGCAGCATGTCAACGTATATCTACGTTTGGACAGTTTAAGGGTTGACGCCTAGTTCTATTGCTAACTTAATACAGCTAGCCCTCCACTTTTGAGAGTTCTACTTTCACGAGCTTCAAACATTCGCGAATGCCCAGCTGCCCGGTTTCATGTGTTTTATGTTATGTTTTTATGTATTTTGTGATTGTTCTTGATTCAATAGGTTAAGGAAGGAGTATTGTTAGGCTAAGTAAATGCTATTATTATATTTCCTTACAATATATTTGCACATCAAAACATTTGCGAATGCTACAGTACACCTTTGATATATACCTTTGAAGAGTTTCGAGAGTTTATCTGCTCTCTGAGCCCGGCCATGGGCCAGGCTTGTCTGGTGCTTGCCTGGTCAACCAGGCTGTTACTGCTAGAGGCCCGCTGCCGCACATATCCATCACAGCCTGGTTGATCTGGCACCTGGTGAAGATACTTGTCCAGTTTTCTCTTGAAGGCTTCTACACTTGTTCCAGCAGTGTTTCTGATATCTTCTGGTAAGATGTTGAAAAGTCTGGGACCCTGGATGTTGATACAGTGTTCCCTTATTGTCCCCACCGCACCCCTGCTCCTCACTGAGTTTATTTTACACTTCCTCCCATATCTCTCACTCCAGTATGTTGTTATGGCAGTGTGCAGATTTGGGACCAAGCCCTCGAGTACCTTCCAGGTATATATTATCATGTACCTCTCTCACGTCCGCTCCAATGAGTACATGTTCAAGACTTGCAGGCATTCCCAGTAGTTTAGGTGCTTTACTGGCTCAATGTGAACCGTAAACGATCTCTGTATTTGTTCCAGCTCCGATATTTCTCCTGCCCTGAACGGGGCCGTCAACACTGAGCAATATTCTAAGTGAGGGAGCACTAGGAATTTGAAAAGTGTCACCATCGGCATTATTTCCCTTGTTTTGAAAGTTCTCAATACCCACCCCGTCATCTTCCTGGCTGTCGTGATCTTTGTCTTGTTATGGTCTTTAAAAGAAAGGCCCGCTGACATAATTATTCCTAGGTCTTTTACATGTTCCTTACATTCTATTTGGTGACCCTCTTGAGTTTTGTATATAGTGCTCCTTTTGAGTTCATTCTTTCCATACCTAAACAGCTGGAACTTATCACCAATGAACGTCATGTTGTTCTCCACTGCCCACTGGAAAACCCTGTTTATGTCTTCCTGTACTTTTTCAGTGTCCTCTACTGTACTGACTCTCATGCTTATTTGAGTGTCATCTGCAGATGATGATACTAAAGTGTGCTGGGTGTTTTTATCTACGTCTGCTATGAGGATGAGGAACAGCAGAGGTGCCAGGACAGTGCCTTGGGGCACTGAGCTTTTGACCTCACTGATGCTGGATCTTGCCCTGTTCACTACTACTTTTTGTGTTCTGTGTGTTAGGAAACCGAAAATCCATCTGCCTACCTTCCCCGTAATGCCCGTGGCCTTCACTTTGTGCGCTATCACTCCATGATCGCATTTGTCAAACGCCTTTGCAAAATCTGTGTTAATTACATCTGCATTTTGGTCATCTTCCAGTGCCTCTGTAATTCTGTCATAATGGTTCAGCAGGTGTGACAGACATGATCGTCCTGCTCTAAAACCATGCTGGTTCGGGTTATGTTGGTTGTGCTGGTCCATGAAATTTGTAACCTGCCGTCTCATAACTCTTTCAAAGATTTTTATGATGTGAAAGGTTAGGGGTACTGGTCTGTAATTTTTAGCTAGTGACCTACTACCTCCCTTATGCAAAGGAGCTATGTCTGCACTCTTTAAGGCCTCCAGTATTTCACCTAGATCTAAGCTCTTTCTCCAAAGAATACTGAAGGCTCATGCTAATGGTACTTTGCACTTCTTTATAAATAGATTCCATGAATCTGGTCTAGGTGCTGAATGAGTGGGCATGTTTTCCATTTCTTGCTCAAATTCTATGGGATTTGTACAGTATTATTATATTTCCCTACATCATATTTGCACACCAAACATTCACGAATTTTCAAGATTCACGAGGTTCTTGATCCCCTAACCCTTGCGAATGTGGAGGGCCTCCTGTATATGTTAGTGTAAACTTGTTATCTGGGATTTATATGCATTTATAAGTGGAAAAATGGCATTCTGCTTTCCAGCAATGTCCGCTTTCCGGTGGTACCCTGGAACATAACCTGCTGTAAAGTGGGGTCCTACTGTACCAGTAGGCATCAAGGGGTCTGTAGAGCCCTTGATTATAAAAGACCACATTAAGAGATGATAATGAATCTGTAAATCAGCAGGCATGATAATGTAATGTATAGCACAGTATTTTTTAATTTATCTTAAATAAATAGTTTTCACACATGTTAAACTAAGCTCTGAGCTGAAAATTTGGTTGTTTTTCAAAGGAATAGCAGGATAGAGATGTAGTGAATCTATTCACCCCAGTCATTGTCAATCTCTTTACCCCTGTGAGTGTCAGTCTGTTCACCCCTGTCAGTGTCATATACATGTTACAGTTTGTTCCACAAGAATTGAAGGATGACAGATATTGGGCACGACGTCGAAAGAATAACATGGCCGCCAAACGTTCTCGTGATGCACGCAGGCTCAAAGAAAATCAAATTGCAATGCGTGCTAACTTCCTAGAGAAAGAGGTAAGAAATGAACAATTTTCCTAATGTGCCTCTGTTTTGGATTTCATACCTAGCCAGTGCTAACCAAAATAAATATGAGTACTGTACTATACTGTAATTTTAAAGCATGTCAGTAAACTTTATGTAAGATAACTTAAGAGGTGTATGTGATATCAAAGTGAATGTGTTGCTATCCCATCACGAACGCTTGCTAAGTAAAATTTGAACTACCGGTACATTATATACAGTATAATACATATATTGAATGTACAGGGCATCATAAAGAGATTTATCAGTAAGGTCTAAACTATAGTACATTACTGAAGTATTATGAATTTCTTCATTTCCAGATATGAAAGGTCTCAAAATTTAAGTTATCTCGGCATTCACGTATAGTACGTACATTAAAATTAGAAGGAAAACTAGAATTTTTTCAACACATTGGCTACATCTCACCGAGGCAGGGTCACATGAAAAGAAAAAGGGAAAGTTCTTCTTTTTACATTTAGTAATTTATAGCAGAGAATGGGTTACTAGCCCCTTGCTTCCAGCATTTTAGTTACCTGTTACGACTCATGACCTGAGGCGGAAGAATTCTTCTCCACTTCCCCATGGAGGGAAAACTAGATGGTTCATTTAAATAAGTAATTGAACTACTGTACTTAAATTGAGATATCTTCAATCATACCCAGTTTCATACTTTTATAACTAACAACATGAATAAGAAATAAATAGAAGATCTCTTCTTTTATGGAATTTCATGTTTCCTTGTAGAGAAATGAACTCCACATCTCAAAATGTTCAGCCAAGACATGAATCTGAACCCTGACTGGAAAGATTTACCAAAGTACTATTTAAAACAATAATTTTTTCTTTTCCTAGTATTTTTGTTATGTTCACATTTTCAACACCTCATTGCTTTACCATAGAAGATTCCTTCACAGGAGGCTACCTTGATGTTAGTGATGATCTCTTCATGTGAGGAATTGTTGCTACTTTGTCCTTCCTCAGTTCAAACCTGAATACCTTCCATTCCTCGGGCATTATATGACTTGCAGATTTAGCATTTCCCTATGAGTACAATACAGGAAGGCCCCACTTATACTGCAGGTTAGGTTCTAGGCTATTGCTGTAAAGCAAAACTTCCTGTGAAGTGAATCATAGCTTTTCTTCACTTTCAAATGCAATATAAAAGCCTGATAGCATGCTCACACTATCATGTATTAGGTGAGCAATATAACTAGGCCAAAAAAATGCATATCCAGTGCATACATTATTTAAATATATATATATATATATTATATATATATATATATATATATATTATATATATATATATATATATATATATATATATATATATATATATATCTATATAATATATATATATATATATTATAAAATATATATATATATATATTATATATATATATATATATATATATATATTTTATATTATATATAATATATATATATATATATATATATATATATATATATAATATATATATATATATATATATATATATATATATAAAATATATATATACAGTGGACCCCCGCATAACGATTACCTCCGAATGCGACCAATTATGTAAGTGTATTTATGTAAGTGCGTTTGTACGTGTAATGTTTGGGGGTCTGAAATGGACTAATCTACTTCACAATATTCCTTATGGGAACAAATTCGGTCAGTACTGGCACCTGAACATACTTCTGGAGTGAAAAAATATCGTTAACCGGGGGTCCACTGTATGTATATATATATATATATATATTTTTTTTTTTTTTTTTTTTTTTCAACAAGTCGGTCGTCTCCCCACCGAGGCAGGGTGACCCAAAAAAAGAAAGAAAATCCCCAAAAAGAAAATACTTTCATCATCATTCAACACTTTCACCACACTCACACATTATCACTGCTTTTGCAGAGGTGCTCAGAATATAACAGTTTTAGAAGCATATACGTATAGAGATACACAACATATCCCTCCAAAACTGCCAATATCCCAAACCCCCTCCTTTAAAGTGCAGGCATTGTACTTCCCATTTCCAGGACTCAAGTCCGACTATATGAAAATAACCGGTTTTCCCTGAATCCCTTCACTAAAATATTACCTGCTCACACTCCAACTGATCGTCAGGTCCCAAGTATCATTCGTCTCCATTCACTCCTATCTAACACGCTCATGCACGCTTGCTGGAAGTCCAAGCCCCTCACCACAAAACTCCTTTACCCCCCTTTCCAACCCTTTCGATGGACGACCCTACCCTCTTTCCTTCCCCTATAGATTTATATGCTTTCCATGTCATTCTACTTTGTTTCCATTCTCTCTAAATAACCAAACCACCTCAACAACCCCTCTTCTGCCCTCTGACTAATGCTTTTATTAACTCCACACCTTCTCCTAATTTCCACACTCCGAATTTTCTGCATAATATTTACACCACACATTGCCCTTAGACAGGACATCTCCACTGCCTCCAACCATCTCCTCGCTGCTGCATTTACCACCCAAGCTTCACATCCATATAAGAGTGTTGGTACTACTATACTTTCATACATTCCCTTCTTTGCCTCCATAGATAACGTTTTTTGACTCCACATATACCTCAACGCACCACTCACCTTTTTTCCCTCATCAATTCTATGATTAACCTCATCCTTCATAAATCCATCCGCCGACACGTCAACTCCCAAGTATCTGAAAACATTCACTTCTTCCATACTCCTCCCCCCCAAATTTTGATATCCAATTTTCTTTATCTAAATCATTTGATACCCTCATCACCTTACTCTTTTCTATGTTCACTTTCAACTTTCTACCTTTACACACATTCTCAAACTCATCCACTAACATTTGCAATTTTTCTTTAGAATCTCCCATAAGCACAGTATCATCAGCAAAAAGTAACTGTGTCAATTCCCATTTTGAATTTGATTCCCATAATTTAATCCCACCCCTCTCCCGAACACCCTAGCATTTACTTCTTTTACAACCCCATCTATAAATATATTAAACAACCATGTGACATTACACATCCCTGTCTAAGACCTACTTTTACGGGAAGTATTCTCCCTCTTTTCTACACACCTAACCTGAGCCTCACTATCCTCATAAAAGCTCTTTACAGCATTTAGTAACTTACCACCTATTCCATATACTTGCAACATCTGCCACATTGCTCCTCTATCCACTCTATCATATGCCTTTTCTAAATCCATAAATGCAATAAAAACTTCCCTACCTTTATCTAAATACTGTTCACATATATGCTTCAATGTAAACACTTTATCTACACATCCCCTACCCACTCTGAAACCTCCTTGTTCGTCCGCAATTCTACATATATATATATATATATTATATATATATATATATATATATAATATTATATATATTATATATATATATATATATTTATTTATTATTTATTTATTTATTTATATTTATATTTATTCAACAAGTCGGCCGTCTCCCACCGAGGCAGGGTGACCCAAAAAAGAAAGAAAATCCCCAAAAAGAAAATACTTTCATCATCATTCAACACTTTCACCACACTCACACATTATCACTGTTTTTTGCAGAGGTGCTCAGAATACAACAGTTTAGAAGCATATACGTATAAAGATACACAACATATCCCTCCAAACTGCCAATATCCCAAACCCCTCCTTTAAAGTGCAGGCATTGTACTTCCCATTTCCAGGACTCAAGTCTGACTATATGAAAATAACCGGTTTCCCTGAATCCCTTCACTAAATATTACCCTGCTCACACTCCAACAGATCGTCAGGTCCCAAGTACCATTCATCTCCATTCACTCCTATCTAACACGCTCACACATGCTTGCTGGAATTCCAAGCCCCTCGCCCACAAAACCTCCTTTACCCCCTCTCTCCAACCCTTTCGAGGACGACCCCTACCTCGCCTTCCTTCCCCTATAGATTTATATGCTTTCCATGTCATTCTACTTTGATCCATTCTCTCTAAATGACCAAACCACCTCAACAACCCCTCTTCTGCCCTCTGACTAATACTTTTATTAACTCCACACCTTTTCCTTATTTCCACACTTCGAATTTTCTGCATAATATTTTACACCACACATTGCCCTTAAAACAGGACATCTCCACTTCCTCCAACCGTTCTCCTCGCTGCTGCATTTACCACCCAAGCTTCACACCCATATAAGAGTGTTGGTACTACTATGCTTTCATACATTCCCTTGTTTGCCTCCATAGATAACGTTTTTTGACTCCACATATACCTCAACGCACCACTCACCTTTTTTCCCTCATCAATTCTATGATTAATCTCATCCTTCATAAATCCATCCACCGACATGTCAACTCCCAAGTATCTGAAAACATTCACTTCTTCCATACTCCTCCTCCCCAATTTGATATCCAATTTTTCTTTATCTAAATCATTTGATACCCTCATCACCTTACTCTTTTCTATGTTCACTTTCAACTTTCTACCTTTACACACATTCCCAAACTCATCCACTAACCTTTGCAATTTTTCTTTAGAATCTCCCATAAGCACAGTATCATCAGCAAAAAGTAACTGTCAATTCCCATTTTGAATTTGATTTCCCATAATTTAATCCCACCTCTCTCCCGAACACCCTAGCATTTACTTCTTTTACAACCCCATCTATAAACATATTAACCATGGTGACATTACACATCCCTGCCTAAGACCTGCTTTTACCGGGAAGTAGTCTCCCTCTCTTCTACACACCCTAACCTGAGCCTCACTATCCCCATAAAAACTCTTTACAGCATTTAGTAACTTACCACCTATTCCATATACTTGCAACATCTGCAACATTGCTCCTTTATCCACTCTATCATATGCCTTTTCTAAATCCATAAATGTAATAAAAACTTCCCTACCTTTATCTAAATACTGTTCACATATATGCTTCAATGTAAACACTTGATCTACACATCCCCTACCCACTCTGAAACCTCCTTGCTCATCCGCAATCCTACATTCTGTCTTACCTCTAAT